CTATGTTGTGGTTTCTTAGTTGTTTCCCTGTACAAAGGTTAAACTTTAGTTTTAAATCCAGTAGAGCTTGTCTTCTGTTTGTGCATCAATTAAGGTAGCTTTAAGAACAATTAATGCAAATATCTGACTAATACTATGCAAACAGTCCTTTTCGTTAAATAAAGCTTGCTTATACACAAGCTCATCCCAACAGTTGTAACAAAGTCAGGAGAAGAACGCTGCATGGCGAGATCTGGAGACAATTAGAGGAAAGTGAAAAACGTGGAATTCAGAGGAAATCGATGGGCTGACTTCCAAACCCAAAAGCTCAACTGGCCAAATCCCTTCATGGGCCTTTACAAAAATGGAGTAACAAAGTGTGTGCATGTGTCTGTAATTGCAGCACAATACTACCCTGCACCAAGTTAGAAGCCACCATAAAGTGGTGTTCCACGATTGGTGATACTTTAGAGAAAGAAAGCAATAGGACTGAAGCTCTGAAAGGCCACTCTGTATAACTTCAGGACACATAATGCACTGAACTAGTGACCATGGAGAGTATCAAATAGCATTTATTAGATTAGCACAGAAAGCACTTTGAGACCGTTTGCTGTGTCAGCAAGAAAAAATAAGTCATACGAATCACTGACATCCAAAAGACATAATACCAAGCAGCAACCTCTTTGGCTTTTTAAAAATGAGGCCAACGAGAGTGACAGAAACTACAATTTCATGAGTGACCACTAGAGGATGGCTCCAAAAGTGAGTCAATCCCCTTTAGGCCTCATATAAAAGAAAATCATTAAAACTGTGACAACAGGGTGCAAATAAAATAAAAAAAACTCTCCTGTTTTGAGTTTTATGAAGGCTTACTGTTAGTGGCCTGCTTATGATGCCGTTAGCTGTCAGTTAGTTGTCACCTCAGCTAAATTAGCCACTGGACTTTATTTATTTTGTACTTGCTAGTCATCCAAAGGTTGTTGGTCCAGTTTTTTGATTAAGTGAAATTCTTGGTATTATAGCATTTATGTTGGCACTAATCATTAGATATTAGTGGGTGAGCACATGGTTTATACAGTCTTTGATAAATTCTCCATTCAGCAACCTGCTTTAAAAAAAATACACAGCCACAGCTTTTAACTGATACATGACATCAGTAAACGAAGATTAATACGAATTGTGCAAGGTGGAGATAAACAAATATTCAATAAAGAAAAAGGAGGGAAATAAACTGAAACCCGACGGGATAAATGACAGACCTGGGAGTAGACCTTTGAGTTTAGATGATGGATAAGTCATGTGAAGCAGAGGACTTAGTTTCACCAATCCAGGAGGAAATGAATAACAACGAGCAGCTTTTGGGAAATGTGGCTGGAGCAGAATAGGACACACAGAGCAGCCTGCACAGCTGAAGACTCATTTAACATGTTTAAACATTTACAATCTACTTTAAAAGACAAATGAGGAAATCAACCTAAACATATGCAATTGGAAAGTTTAAAGGATACTTATGTCAGGGCAGAGGGCTAGCTGAATGGAGGTGGGTTAAGGAGTCTGACGAATTTTGACACTGATGTTTTTCTGTAGGCGGACATCACAAGTTGCGTTGTTTGCAGGTGGAGTCGAATCTGAACACAGGGTCAAATGAGCACAGTGGTGAGGGGAGCAGAAACCAGGGTTCTTATACTGGAGCAAAGGAGTTGATGAGTTGCAGGTGCTTGATTACACAAACCACACCCTCTCCAGAGAGACAGGACACACACACACACACACACACACACACACACACACACACACACACACACACAAAGTCAATTGAGAGCAAGGATTTGTTTTGACCTTTGGTATTGGCTAGACATTGATTACACCCATCCCCCAACCCCCACCCCTCTGAATTTTCATAATAGACTCAATGTGTGTGAAAGGACATAATTCTGAAAGTACTTTTGCACTTTTACATTTTCTTAAAATAATTAAATCAATGTTCCTAAATATTTGAAAATATGAGTTTTCAGAACAATTTCAACACATTTTTAGACTTCTGTATGCCGAGAAGAGTATGTAGAGAATTTCATGCGTTAATGTTTCATCACAAGGTTTGTAATTAGTAGCATGACGACTTGTCCCCCACATGAACTACAACATTAACAAAGAAAAAAATGGATGGCGTCTTGTGTCTATCCTTACTAGATAAAAAACAAAACGCTCACATGGTTCTGAAACTTCTACAAATACGCAAGTTGGTTTAAAAATAATGCTGATTTAGTCAATCTTAATCCCATGCATTTCATTAAAGTGACATAAAAATAAATGTGCAGTTATAAAATATTTGAAAACAGTGTATGCTACCTGCAGTTTCTTAAGGTGATTGATGCTGGGTAAAGCAAATGAAAACTAGACACAGCCAGACAGTCGCTCAGCGCCTCTTTCATTATCGACTTAAAGAAGATGATCTGACCTCTCAAAATAGTGTTTACGGTTTGTGCACCGTCCAGTCACACATCAACCAGAGCATGCCCTGCACTGGAGCTTCTATATTTGTTCTGTTCCTCATCTGTAACAAGAATTAACCAAGAAAATGAAGTAATTGAGTTTGGGACAGAGGTAGCTAACAAGGGACTTCAGTGTAACAGAACACAAAGCTTATCTCATGTAAACGTCACACACATCACGTCAGGTTCTGCTGTGGAAAACGTTCACCCGTATCCAGGGCTGCTATTATAAGCTTTAACAGGGCAGAGACTGTGTGCATGCGAGGGAGACGGATAGTTTCTTAATCCCCCTCAAGTTTTAGCATTTGCTTCTTTCTTTGGGTAGGTTGCTCTGGTGCCAGAAATAGAAATAAGAAATCGGCAGGTGGAGGAAAAGTGAAGCTTGGCTGCTTTACCCATCATTTTAAATTAACCGAGGAGTAACTTCACAGAAGCACTTGTTTTGACAGCTTTCAAGGCTTTGCTCGAGTTTAGAAATGGACATATTAATACATCTGTGTGTCTTTAACCTTGTGCACAGGAACACACATGTCACAGAAGGCCTCTGAACTGTGTCTAGTTCAGCTCTTTGCAGTATCATAAACTGACAGCTAACAGGTACAGTTAAGCGAATACTTGCTAATCTTAGTTTAAGATACACAAATATTAATGTTTCTCTTTATGGGTAAAAATAAAGGAGGATAAGAGTCTACAGTCATGCTTACACAGCCTTGTGAGGCTATGCCAGGCACCTTTGTTAGTCTGAGCTAAATGCTTATGTCTATACTCTGATAACAATGCTAACATTCTATTATTGAAGATGTAGGCCCAAATGATTACTTTGCCATTCATTTCTAAAGTGTGTTAGCATGCTTACATTTGACTGTATAATGGATGATAGCTTACCTGCAGTCACATCACTCACTATTAGCTACCAGACTACCAAACAAGATGTGAAAATAATGGCACATCTGATTCTTCAGGATTGTTGTGCCCGGCGGAGGAACACACTACCTCACATGACCTCAATGGAGCTGGCAGTATTTGCTAGTTTAATGCTCTGCGCAGAGATGAAGAAATGGCTGGGGAGACATGGACAACATGGATTGTTGTTCAGCGAGAGATGGAGGTACGACTTCAACTGTCATATACATTTCAGGTGTCCAGTGCATCCATATGGGTTGTGACTTGCCGGCGGTCTACATTACTACTGTCCTCTTGTGTCTCTCGGGGAGATTGGATCTTTATTCCACTTACACTATAAAATAATCTGGGCAGATAATCATTTCCGAGCTGCCTCGTGTTGGGGATCAGCCCCGCGATTGTTGGGAAGGGGCAATCGGACCTCAAATCGGCCAGATTATCCTGTAGTCGGAGCCAGGCTTTAGTCTACTCATAAACAGTATACATGTCCTAGAAAGCACGAAATCACTGATCACTAAATGCTACTGTACACATGCTAACATGGTAATATTTGAGAAACAAAAATTTGTATCTTAGTTTATCCCGTTTACTTCTTCACAGTTGTCAATTTTTGGACGTATTAAAATTTCAACAAAAACATGATCAGATTAGTTCTTTGGGCAAATAAAGATATTACAATCCATCCTGTGAATTGATATGAATATATGTTCAAAACTTTTACTCAATAGTTGGCAACAGCGGACAGTTAAAGTAATTTAGATTCAACTTCTGTAATCTTTTTTTACATTTACCACATTTTATCCATCTGGATTAAAACACAGCAAACAATAAAGCGAAAATGATTGTGTTTATTAATTATTTTATGTATGCATAAGCACTCATTGCACTCAGCTCTCATCCATCCACTACCTTCATATCTCAATAATTAAATCCCTATATTAATATGCTCCATCCTCTCGGCTATCTCTCCAAACCAGTTAGACAAATTAGGGCCTTGATCATAAATCTGAAGCTGAAAGGTCCGATGGGGGGAAAGCTGTGTAGCTTTTGCTGATGCATGTTTAAAAATTTATGAAGCAGAAAACAGGCCATGCAGACAGGGCTGTGGCAAAGCACAGGGTTTCTTTGATGCCGGTTAGCAGAAATGTTTCTAACCACTAAAACAAACTATATGGGCAGCAAAATTCCTCTGTGCCCACACAAAGGGAGACACAGGAATGTTATGAAAAACCTTGAAGAATCTGCTTTCCCATGAAACAAGTTGTGAATTATTAACAACATAAAAGTAGATTGTCATTTCTGCCCTAGATTTATCTTCTGGTTCACAATATTATGTGGCTATAAATCAAAACCTTAACTAAATATGAGCAAAGCTGTTAGTACCTTGAACATCTGGCTCTCCATTACATGAAAGTAAACCACACAGCTGAACATGTCATCATTTTCCTTCTTTTATTGGACATGTTAGTTCATGGATGTGGTTGTTTTCAGTTGTTTTTTTTCTATGGAAATCAGTTGGTTGGATTAATTTCAAACAGCATTTCTGAACATGCTCAGGCAGGGTTGTTCACAGCAGATGATTTGATTGAGCAGAAGAAATGGAAGTTAAGGTAGCACAAACAGTAATGCCTCCAGAAGGTTTATTTTTCCATCATCTTTTCTAATAAGAATTTCAACAGAAATTCAGTCAATCAAGGCAAATAAAGCACATTTACACATGTTGTTTAGATTAACCAATCTTGGGATAACAAGGTCACTATGTGGAGAATTGGAAAATGTCATTTGTCAACCCCAGTGGTGGTATTTAAAAAGACAGTATTGTCCCCCACTTATACATCTCCTTTACCAACTCCATCCGCGTTTCAGACATATGACAAGATGCAGTAATTACATAAAAATGTATTTGCAGAGGGGCTTTAACTAGTTAATTCTGTTTTATCATGGTTAAAATAATATAAAGTGTAGTTGCTTTTAATGTTTGACCCATTTGAGATTACATTTCTCACATCATTCGGTAGGTAAAGCCATAACAGTGACTAAAATCTGCATCTGAGAATCTGCTGTGTTAAACCTGTAAGAAGACATTGGCATTGATGACTTGAGGTTTTCAACAGAAGAAGCTTTTATCAATAAGAGGTGAAGGAAGGTTACAGTGCTAACAGTCACACAGTGGCAAGTTTCACACTGTTATCATTTAGGAATTTGGTGTCTTGCTAAAGGACACTTACGCTATTCAAATGGGTGCTACGGGTATCAAGCATGTGGCCTCTACATGACCAATCTCTAACCAATAGGTCACCCTGCATTCCACACAAACTGTACTTTCATTAATGTGACTCTTTAACAGGAACGGTCAAGAAAAAAAAGGACGAGAAGTAGTTTCTTTGTGAAGTCCTAGCTGTCATAATCAATTTTGTTCTGCCATGTTACACCAGGAAGTCGGTTTAACACTAAGAAATTATTCAACTTCTAAGAAATAGTGTGACGTTTCAGGAAATTTGCGTATTTAGTGGGTAATATTACTATCATATCTGTGTGGCTAATATGACAGTTAGCTTAGCCTGTTGGTGTATCTCAGCATTATGACTGAAGACTGCAGAAAGTCTAGCCATCTGTCATTTTAGCTACACAGCACCTTTTGACAGGACAGCAACCTTCACTTATGCTTATTGAGTGCTCATATCTCACTTTTAATATAAGTAAAGCATTAGAAAGCTTGAGAAATAACGACGAGCTGGCTGTTCCCCCCGTTATAACCTCTGTGCTAACTGACAGCTGCTAGCTGTAGTTCCATGTTAGCTTCATGCTCCACTGCTGCTTATGCAGTACTCATACCTTGCTTTAAATGTGAAAACATCAAGAGTTCATTGAAATGTCTGAGAATCTGAGGTACTGGTAAGTTAGTTGTAAGTAAACCTGCTGGCTGTAGCCCAGCATTAGCTTAATGTTTCACTGTACTTGTATCTGGTTTTCAATGCAAATTCAAACTGAAACTTGCATCTTCAACACACAAAAACATGGTAATAAGAGCATTTTCAACATTGGCTACATGTTTACCCCGTGACAGTCTTTCTGCTATGCCAAGCTAACCTCCTGATAGCTGCAGTTTTTGTTGGTTTCATGCTTCTACTCAATGCTGATACCCTGTAACATGCACTGATTCAATGCACAAAAAACATGAGAGCAAGCTTTAGAGGTAATGTTAGCAAAATGTTTCCCTTTTTGTTAGTCTTCATGCTGAGCTAAGCTAGCTACAAGGTTGACTGCCAGACGCCAGAATGATGTTTGGTATCATTCTTCCCATGCATCTCAATTTTAGGAACGGCTTGCCATTTCTAAAATTTGACACTAACAATATGTGATAAAGTAGAAAGATACAAGCATGATGATGAAATTGCAGAGAACGCTCCATTTTGGTGTGTTGGTTTGATATGGAGCCTGTAGTGTGAATCTAAAAATCATTGATTATCTGCCCCCTTATTGGTAATCCTGTTTTAACGCTCAGTCAATAATAAAAGCTGTTTGAAAAAAGGGCTGAATTAAAAAAAATAAATAAATTGACTTGGAGTGAAAATGTACAGAGAGGAGAATTGAAGCATCCCAGCGTATGCATGTTAGCTGTGCAGGTTATAGCAGGAAGAACATAGTACCAAAAATACCCTGATTCTTGTTATCAATGAATTCCATTTATTCGAACCTGATGAGCTACACGAAGCCCATAGCTTTTGATAAAACATATTGTGAAAGAATGAATGTGGATCTAAATTAATTGGTTGTAATGCTAACAGTCCCAATATTTACATGACTGATTCATCTCCCTTTTTGTAAGAAATCTAAGCTTTGCAGTGTTTTTCTAATTGCTCAGATAGGATGGAATGAGGCCATGATTCAGAAGATAATGGAAATACATAACAAATCTGTGTACCAAAAGCACATAAACATTAAAAATCATCATGCTTACTTAAAATCCACAATATGTCACATCTCATTCATTCACAATACTGGGCAGGAGAGCAAATGATAAAAAGGTGCAAAAAAGAAACGTCACAACTAAAAGCAAATTGGTCAAAACGTTCATCAAGTTCAGTACTTGCAGAGCCACATGTGCACTTGGACTGGAAATATCACATTTTTTTTCATTACCTTACAACATGTAGCTCTTTAAGCAGATTTGACATGACGTCATGGGTCCACAGAGCCGAGTTTGGCCAGGAAAATCAAAGTTTGAAAACATTTAAGACCTCGATCAACATTAGAAATATTCCTTGTTTCAATGATTGTTGTGCCTTCATTCATCCCAAAGGCACTGGACCTTACTCAGTTTAACAAACGAGGATTAGATAAAAGGATAAAACATTACCCTAACAGCATGTTTGGTACCTAGAGTCCAAGGAGTACTTTCCAGGATTGTGGTACGCTCCATGCACTTACCATGCAGAGTCTTCTGTTTTGTTGTGGCATTGACAATATGGCACAGTCACATGAATCACTCTTAAATAACATTTAAAAGAAACAACAATTTCAAAACAAGTATCCTCAAGGTCTACAAGTACCAGGAAAAATACAAAACAATGTTTTTGTTGTCTGTCACTTTAAGCATGTTTTTTTTTTCCCTTGTGCAAGAAATAAATGTAAAGAAACTACAACAAAAATCTCACAATTTAAAAAGAAGCACAGAACAGAGGCTCAGTTCTTTCTGTACTTTGATGCAAAATTGTAATGCTGATTAGCACATGGGTAAATTATTTTATGAAGTGTCCAGCAACCAAAGCAAAAACAAATATCACCTCTTCCCTATATTTACACAGTAGATATTGTCCTCTAACATCACACAGATGATGGGAAGCACAACAGCTGTTATCACATCATACTTTTATATTACAGGTTTTCCAGTCTGGCAACAGGAAATTAAATTGAAAGTCTCTAATTAGCTACTGTAAGATAACAGATGTTAGCATTCAGCTACATCCTGTCCACATGGAGGTCACAGGATACACGTGAGGAAAGAAATCTCTTCCCTGAAGTTGATATTTGTTAGCTTAATCTTAGCTTAATTTTATCTTAAAGTATGCCCTGATGTCGCTCCATAAAAGCTTATTTCAGCATTCAAACAAAGACCGAGCTAACATTATCGTTAGCTGGCTAAATTAACCTAAAACAAGGATTTTATGTCTTTTCATGCATGGCTTCTATCAAACAACAGCTATCATTTGCAGACAACCAGCTAACAACACAAGTTGTTTTTTTTTATTTTTTTACAATCAAAGAATAATAAAGTAGCTAATGTTGGCAGTAATGTTAGTCAGGAATGAGTTAATTGCTAATATTAGCTATTGGGATGGGTTATCTAATTTGGTAATTTAACTACCTAATTTCCACATTTGTGTGCTCTAATGTCTTTTGAGGTGCTTATCAAACAAGATGCAGTGAAACAATAATTACTTGTTAGATAACGTTTTTTAAAATAACATACAAACCTGGACATATTGCCAGTTGAGCTTCCCATCCTGAATGTGACTTTAGAGGAAAATTTCCAACCTTTGAATATACTGAATTAGAATCCCATTTTGTGACATCAAGTCCTGAATCGTCTTTTCTGTTAATGTCTCTCTTAATATCTTGCCATTGAGGAGCACAAGAGCAGTTTGAGAGAGTGTATCAAAGAGACACTGTTCCCTTGGCTTGGTACTTGGCAAGTATAGAACAGTTACCAAGAGGTTTCTTTGTAACTGCACACTCTACAGAAGTAAATCAGGCTGTTTTTGACTCCAGGAGCCTGCTGGAGACTGGAATGTACCAAATAGCTGGTCTGAGAGCTACTTTTTTTGTGAATTTTCTTTTTCTAATTGCAATGAATTCTGAATCCACAAGTCTATAATGATATCTCCCTTCTACTCGTGGCCACCAATAAACAATAGTTCACATTTAAATCACATTTGGCAAACAAAAAAAAAAAACATGAAGACCGGGATGTTCTCATGTTCCCTTTTCGGTGAAGGGTTTAAAAATGCAACTTGGCTTAACATTCGACAGTATATAGTACTTGAGACGCCGTTTCTAATGGCTCCTGCTTTGAACTACAGCTCTATTTGGCACTAGAGAATGCCAATTGAGTGCTTCGTTGGTTGAAGAAAAGCAGAGAAAATCCTTTCATACACAAACCAGCCAGCTTTCACTCTTTCTCCCCCCTGCCTGTGTTTTCCCCCTCCGTTTAATGTCCTATTCAAGATTCTAGGTACAGGACACCACTATCTCTCCCTTCTTTCTTGCATTTGCCAGTCTGTCAGTGCGTTTTATCACCCCCTCTGTTCCTCTTCTCCTTCTGTGTTTGATTAACAAAGACCCAGAGGGGGAGGGGGGTTTGGTCCAGCTGCCCCATATGTCAGTCAGATACAGTAGTCAGCATAAAAAAAGGAACTCTTTCCCCACCCATCCAAACCTACAAAATATAACCTTTTTTTTAGTCCCAGCTGAGGCTTTTCCCAAATAAAAACACATCCATGCACACAAGAAGTTAAGAAACAAAAGGACGGAGAAATGGCATATTTGAATGTATGTATATTTGACATTGTGTGTGTGTGTGTGTGTGTGTGTGTGTCCCTGATGCTGCTGGTCTGGGTGGAGGACATTCTCATGGAAATCAGGGATTAGCTGTGGAGGGATAGCAGGAGAGTGAATGGACATGGATGCAGAGCCGAAGGATGGATCCAACCATTTGAGCACCCATTTTTACACGAACTTCCTGTTTTGAATCCGTTTCCTGCAGCCTTACTGAACTCCAATTAACTCCTTGAACCAGCTCTAACTCCCTCCTTCCTGCGGAGTGCAATGTCCCACTCGAATGCGCAATGTGCCACTTTTGTGTAAGTGCCAGAGCTGGACAAACTCCTCTGGCATGGCGTGGAACCATTTGTACGGCAGGATGTTGTCGTAGTAGTGGTGGCTCACTGGCTGCTCGTCCAGGCCGACTGAAAACGGCCAGAAGCCATAGGCCGTCACTTCCTCGCACAGCCCCAAGGCCAGGCTGACTAGAAAGAGCCCTGTGGAGAGGCGTTTGGCGTGGACGCCTCGGCCTTTCCAGAATTTTCCCACCGTGCGAAGAAATTCAGGATTGGCAAAGAGCATGGTGAGGTTGGAGGAGGTGTCCGCTAGGGCATAGTACGCCCGCAGTGATGGATCAGTGCCAGGCTTCATGGAAAATGCGGGCATGTAGATGTAGCTGGAGCCATAGACTTTCATACTGTCTACAAAGGCTTTTCTCGACCACAGGAGGTTCTGAAATCTGAGATTGAGGAACAGAAGGAAATGGCCATTACTATAAATGTCTGTGTTTGCGTCATCTGTAGACTTGTCTTAGGTTTCTTTAAGAAAGGAAGTGAGCTTCCTGTGTAGTCACAAGCTACACTACAGGAAAAGGTAACTTGCTGGTGAATGGATAATGGCACTTGTTTTAAGATGGTCAGGATTTCATGACTAAGTCAAGCCCTGACAGATGGAGCAAGATGGAGCAAGCTTCCTTATTCATTAAAATGCGCCCAAACCCTTTGTGTGTTACACATCTCAATTAAATGAATACGCTGTCATTCACATATGCCTCTGATTGTTTTTCATCTTGCACTTTAATTCAGCCAACTTCCAACCTTTTACAGCTCTCGAACGCACACTAACTTAATTTATATACTCTACCTTTTGTTCATTTCACAATACTATTATTTTTGGGTGGTGTTTATCATTTTTTTATATTTAATGCTATAACCTGCCACTGTTTTGAAATGTTCATGACAAGACAATCCTTCTCTTCTGTTTACTTTATTCAGTTAATCTTATTTTACTTCTTTAAATGTATAATATGTATCTATATTTATAAATCCTTGTGTTTCTTTAAGTCTTGTCCAGATTAGTTTTTACATCATATATAAAGTACAAATCTTTCACTAAGTACACTTGGTTGAAAGTTGCTACTCAAATGCTTGCCTTCACTATTGCATTTTTCATTTTCCATTAATGCCTTCCTGAAAGGCTTTTAAAATGTCAATTCTCCTTCTCCTTCTACTTTGATTTATAACTCAGAAACTTCTCTGTCAAAGTAGTAAAATGTGGTACAGTGTATAGAGAACTGGTTCTGCTGTCGATGGAGCAAGCTTCCTTATTCATTAAAATACGCCCAAACCCTTTGTGTGTTACACATCTCATCTAGTAAAATGTGGTACGGTGTATAGAGAACTGGTTCTGCTGTCGATGGAGCAAGCTTCCTTATTCATTAAAATGCGCCCAAACCCTTTGTGTGTTACACATCTCATCTAGTAAAATGTGGTACGGTGTATAGAGAACTGGTTCTGCGGTCGAGGGATGAGCTGATTACCTTTTCTCGATGATGCTCGGGTTGGCTGTGACAAGATGCGTTGTGGTTCCCACGTCCTCCACGTAGTCCTTTGAAAGTGGAGGAAGGTTACACCTAAATGAGCAAAAGAGAGACAGGATCAATAAGTGTTTCACATTCTCCACAAAACCATAATGTGCTAAACCCTCACGTATATCAGTCGTTGATGTAGTTACAGTTAAGAACAATTAAAGTCAACATGTGGGTTCCCTTCTAATTAGATTTGATAACGATTTTTTGTTTCTGGTTGCATTAAATAAGCCTGTAGATGTTTTATGACTTCTGAAGAGGCTAAAAGAAGGGACGTTTCTGATTGTTCAGACCAGAGTGAAATGATGTGGTGGAAAATTGTTTTAATGACTTGGTTTACCAACGCTGGCAGCCACCTTTAGATTTTTTTATTTATGGGCTTTTTGTGCCTTTATTGGAGAGATAGGACAGTGGATAGAGTTGGAAATCAGGGAGACAGAGAGAGGGGAATGACATGCAGGAATGAAGCCGCAGGCTGGATTCAATCCTGGGCCGCCCGCTTGGAAGAATACAGCCTCCAAATATACATGGGGCATGCGCCACCAGCGCCCCAACCACCTTTGAATCACTTTCACCCACTGAAATAAAGTCAAATGTTGGTGAAATATATTAACCCAGACACTTTCTTTCTCTCTCTCTGTCTTTTAAAAAGAATACCTCAGCTCCAGATGTTATTCAATCCAATTGGAAATCATGTCAAATTAAAGGAATATTGTGCAATATTTTACACATAAATAAAGCAGAAAAGAAAGTATCCTATGTTAATGTCTCTCTGAGTCATGACTGTCTACAATGAGTGAGGAGCACAAAAACATATGGCTGTGTTGTTGTCGGAGCTGTGTTTGCATCACTTGGACATGGACATAGACGGGTTAAAAGAAAAGCTATTTTAGTCAAGGAGCAGAAAAAAGAAGAATAACATACTCACTGCTTATTTCACGTTAGCGTTTTTAGATCACGGCCATTATAAGTCAATTTACATGCAATGTGAAGCTACAGGCTAACTAAAGTGTGCTAACATTAGCCTGCTAACACAACAATGCACAACAAGCCAAAGAGAATTTTGTCCGCTGCTCGCGCTTCATGTTGCTAAATCATGGTGCGTTCCATTTGATAACTCCCTCGTTGGGAACGAAAGGGGAAGGGGAGTTGGAGATGTCCCTAAACAGCAGTTTCTATTTGATCAACGAGTTGTTCATTCTTCCTTTAACCGTACAAAATGTACATGTTTTCGTTTCAAACATTCGATAAGTTCCTACTTTTGTTTAACTGGACCATGTCAGCAATTCATTCTACTATCTTTGAGGTACTCCCTGATGCTCCCTGCAGTTACTCCCACTGACATATTTTACAACTCTGGCATTTCCCATTCAGCAAAATGAAGTCGCTTGAAACAGCCAGCTAACCACTCCAGAGTTGACAGGGGCCCAAACACAACCTTTTGTCACAGTTTGGAAGAAATCAGCATATATGATAACAAGATGTTTTCCTCCAATTCACCAGGAAACAGTTACAGTGATTAGATCTTTTGATAAAAAAAAAAAAAAAATTAAATTAAATGAATGTGTTAGGACTCATTGGAATTTCAATGCATTGTATATCCTGGGTTAAGTCACCTTAAAATAATACAACCCAACATCCTTCATCCTGTATTGGGGGAGGTGAGAATAACATCCTGTCTAAGGAGGTCTATGTTGTCTAAGGAGGTTCCATATGACATGGACTTCTTTTTGAACTGGGGGACAAACCCAGATCACTGAAAAATCTACACAGAAAGTCTTATCAGTCCATAACTGCAGAGACCCATATAGTCCTCTTATCCTGAATCTGTTATTTACTAAAGATTTTCGACTGATGCTATTACTTTTTCCCCTCTGCTGATGTAACACTGCAAATTTCCCCACTGTGGGGATTAATAAAGGATTCATTTTTCTTATTTCTTATGTCAGTGGATTTGTAAAGGGTCGAAGCAATCACGGTCACCTCAAAGTGCTGCTCCCTGCAGAGATGTACTGATGGTTCGGAGAGTCTATAAAGTTTGTGCAGTTATACAATGTCACAAATAACAGAGAGAAAACATATCTGAGAATAACATCTGCTGAACCTTCCTATGCATGTCCAGCTTATTCAGTGTACTTAAAGTTATTTATAATCTTATGATTTATGATTTTATGATTTGTCCCTCTTTTTTTGCACAACTGATCTGCTTGGTGGTTACAGGAACATAGACGTTGCTATTTTTCAGCAAACTGTCACAGTGAAACCAATACAACAGCATCTGTACTGTGATTACTTCTTTCAAGATGAAAAACACCTTCATTTGGAAGCTACAACAAATTTGTTGAATAGTTCTCCTTGTCTGACTTTGTTCGGTTCTGCTGTTATTTTGCACCAGCAGATGGTTACATTCTGCTTTATGCGTTTCTGCTTATGTCATCGCCCCCCCCCCCCTTATCTTTGTCTTTCTCACACCAAACCTCTTTTCTCTCTTGCCCTTGCTGTGACCCATTTTTCTGTCTGCCTCTCTCGCTGCAGTCCACACCAGCTTTCATTATCACTGATGGCTAATGGTGTTTGGCTGCTCTCTCGGGCGCGGCTGATTCGCATTTGGAGGAGCAGCGGTGAAGAAGCACCATTGAGCCCCATTTTTTTTCTCACCGCATGACGAAGTCAGCCTGGTCAATGTCCCGTCCACATTTGCTGTGCTGGAGAATGCCACCGTTGCCCACCACGGCACACTTCTTCAGGGGCAGTTGCAGAGGGTTGTTCTGGGCAGAAGGGAAAGTGCAGCTCAGTTAGTGTAAACACAGACACACAATCATCTGGTGATTAACACACAGAGCCACGTACACACATGCACAGATGCAAATATTAATTTTCTCCAAACTGGATCCCCTTAATGAAGGCAGGGTGAATGAGTCACCCGGTGCTCAGTAAAGTGCAGGACCCAGGCCTACTCTTAACTATACTTAACAGGATGCTAATGGATGCACCAACATATGAGTTGAGGAGATGGGAAAAGAGCAAAGGTCAACCAAGGATTTTAAAAAAACAATGAAGCAGGTTAAAAATATACCATAATAATACCATATCTTCCATTTCTTTTAGCTCCTTATTTCAACTTTTCCATTTTCTTTTGCATCAAGATAACTTCATCAACCCTTTATCAAACACTTTAAGCCAACTTAGGCTAAGGCTAACTATCGCAACCAAAAATAATTTCTTTTTAACTTTTTTCCAACCAGTTAGCCGTAACCTTTAGCCAACTGTTTCAACTTCATATCAACTACTCTGGTATACCTAGATAGTTAAGACAGCTACGTCACCTATTTACCCATAAAATAGCATTCATATTCATTTATTTTAGCTAACTATCCGATCAATTATTACTAGCTAACAATTTCAACCATTCATAGAGCCAAGTATTTCGTCCGTTAGTCCCTAACGTATAGCCATTTAAAGTGTTTATCAGTTACTTTTGTCAACTTCAAATGTCGAACAACTTATAGCTAACCCATTCATTCATCCCCTTCAGCTACTTTAGTAGTAATTATTAGCTACTTCAGCTACTAACTATTTAAACTGCGAGGCATGCACTTTTTTTTTTAAACCATTAGCCATAACTTTTTGCTAACTATTTGATACATCGCTTCCAGATTATTATTTCAAATATTTATCCTTCACCTTTGAGTGAAGCTAGGTCTTTTAGCGTATGTTTTAGCTAGCATGTTTTTTTCTGAAGTTTCTCTTTTACTTGCTGCTTATTGAACTACTGAGAAATGATTATTGTTATAATTATATATATTTTTTTAGCAATCTTAATCACATAATGCTGAAACAGTATTGTAAAGACGTGACCTGTTCATTAAATATAGGGATTTCTTTTCTTTGGAATTAAATTATTTGTTTTCATTTAAATGATCTACCACATACAGTACACAAGCCGACCAAGGGAGAAGTTCCACTGGTAGTGATTCACTGCCCTATCATCGTCTAAATAAAAGCCTGGTATGAGACAGTATTACAGTTGTTTCTGAGAACCCTAAAATACCATGCTTCAAGAGGCAAGAGCCAAAAATGTCCTTTTCTTTTGCCCAGCCTGCATTTAAGTCAGAGGCATGGATTAGGGGAGATGGTGGAAACAATTGTGCCCATTATTCCCCTTTGAGTGCACAAAATTGAGAATACACTCACTCACACACACACACACACACACACACACACACACACAGCTTGCCTCAGGGTCTCTCTTAGAGCGTGACAGAGTTGAGGCAGAGGACAATACCCTGCTAACAGCACATTGAGCTGGGGAGGGGTACCAGCAAGCCGGGCAAAAACTTAAGAGGGGGACACTTATTACAGTATCATGTGGTCCTGCTATTTCTGAAAAGTCATTAATCCAACTCTTTAACCATTATCTGGAACACATGTGGCTTTGTTTTCTTATTTCCATTTAGAACGGCAACCAATGTTCCTCCTTTCTTTCAATTACTTTATTAGCTTTTAAAATGAAAGAAATTAGTGACATGATGATTTATCACAAGCTCCCAGCCAAAAACATATTAAAGTAACTCTAATGTAAAACAGAGAAAAGCTGGTAATCTCACATTTGAGAATGCTGGAAGCAGCTACTCGTTTAATTACTGTTGTGTTTTTCAGTGTGCGTGTGCAATAAAAAGATTTATTTTTATTTATTCAACCTTTATCATGAGTCATTTCTTTAGCCTGCAGGCAACAAAAAGAAAAAGTGTATGAAGTGAACATCAGAAAATGAAGAGATCTGAGGAATATGCAGTCCAGCCCAGTGAACTATACGGATGCTCTACTAAACTAACCGGCAATTAACAGTCAAAGCCTAAATTGGCACATTTTCTGGCAGTAACTCAGATACTGAAGCTGTTGCCAGGCTACAGTAGTGAGGCTGTTCAAACCTGCAATCACAGCAGTGGTAATTGAGAAGGCAGAGAATATGTTTAAGTGTATACGAGAGCGTATTCTTCGAACAGCCCACCTAAACGCCGGTTACCTTCCTTCTACATATAACCAGGCCACAATATAAGCTTGTAGAGAAAGTGCAACCCTGCTTCTTGAAATAGGCAATGTATACATTAGATGGAGTGTCACAGTGTCACCATAACCGTAGGCAGAGTGATGCATGGGAGTCTGAAAATACCAACCAGCAACATCCCAGTGACACAGAGCACTGTATGAATGAATGTAACATTAAAAGAGTACAAAACAGTGTAATGATTAACTAACGTCATTCCAAAAAAAAACGACAAACACTCGAGCTGTGTGAGCAGAATGAATAGTAAGTCCTCGTCAGAAGTCACATGGTTAAAGAGTTCAGCGTAACATGGACATAAGATCAATTCAAAAGGTGTGTCTGTTCCAACAGCATCAAATCTTGTTAACTTTTGAGGGCGCCATTAGCCTAGCGTTTATGTCGCTTGCCCCACGTACAGAGGCCATAGTCCTTGCGCAGCGGCCGTTAGTTCGAATCGGACTTCGACCCCTTTGCTGCTTATCTTCCAATATTTACAACCGTGTGTCTTGTAAATGTTAAAAGCTAACTAATGTTTTCCCTGGCTTGAATTGATCTATTGTCTGTCAATGAAATTATTTTTTTCAATAACTTATTATGTAAAAAAGAAGTTAGGCACCTCATCTGAAAACTAAAGTTTATTTCCTGAAACTGCCTATTTCCTCCAGAAAAAAACCCCTCAGCTCTAACATCGTTTCCATCATGTGCAATACAGAGAAATAACTACTTTGCATCTGAAGAGCTGAATGTTCTTATCCTGCTTTGGTAAAAACCAGTGTGATTCCAACAAATAACTTCCTTTTCCCAAAGAACAATCCTGAAATATTCACTTTCAATCAAAAATGAAAGACGGAATATTTTTCTGCTAATGAGAAGCTGCAGCCAGCAAATGTTTGGCATTGCTGCTTAAAAGAAATGACCCAAATTATCAATTAAAACTATTGCAGATCCAATTAATTCTGAAAACCGTGCGTACATTCGACTTTACACATAAGAAACTCTGGGTCTAAAAAGCCCACAGTTGTACATTAACCCAAAAGAACCCACAGTATGGATCATCGGCATATTAACAGTCAAAGCCTAAATTGGCACATTCTCTGGCAGTAACTCAGATACTGAAGCTGTTGCCAGGCTACAGTAGTGAGGCTGTTCAAACCTGCAATCACAGCAGTGGTAATTGAGAAGGCAGAGAATATGTTTAAGTGTATACGAGAGCGTATTCTTCGAACAGCCCACCTAAACGCCGGTTACCTTCCTTCTACATATAACCAGGCCACAATATAAGCTTGTAGAGGAAGTGCAACCCTGCTTCTTGAAATAGGCAATGTATACATTAGATGGAGTGTCACAGTGTCACCATAACCGTAGGCAGAGTGATGCATGGGAGTCTGAAAATACCAACCAGCAACATCCCAGTGACACAGAGCACTGTATGAATGAATGTAACATTAAAAGAGTATAAACAGTGTAATGATTAACTAACGTCATTCCAAAAAAAAACGACAAACACTCGAGCTGTGTGAGCAGAATGAATAGTAAGTCCTCGTCAGAAGTCACATGGTTAAAGAGTTCAGCGTAACATGGACATAAGATCAATTCAAAAGGTGTGTCTGTTCCAACAGCATCAAATCTTGTTAACTTTTGAGGGCGCCATTAGCCTAGCGTTTATGTCGCTTGCCCCACGTACAGAGGCCATAGTCCTTGCGCAGCGGCCGTTAGTTCGAATCGGACTTCGACCCCTTTGCTGCTTATCTTCCAATATTTACAACCGTGTGTCTTGTAAACGTTAAAAGCTAACTAATGTTTTCCCTGGCTTGAACTGATCTATTGTCTGTCCATGAAATTATTTTTTTCAATAACTTATTATGTAAAAAAGAAGTTAGGCACCTCATCTGAAAACTAAAGTTTATTTCCTGAAACTGCCTATTTCCTCCAGAAAAAAACCCCCTCAGCTCTAACATCGTTTCCATCATGTGCGATACAGAGAAATAACTACTTTGCATCTGAAGAGCTGAATGTTCTTATCCTGCTTTGGTAAAAACCAGTGTGATTCCAACAAATAACTTCCTTTTCCCAAAGAACAATCCTGAAATATTCACTTTCAATCAAAAATGAAAGACGGAATATTTTTCTGCTAATGAGAAGCTGCAGCCAGCAAATGTTTGGCATTGCTGCTTGAAAGAAATGACCCAAATTATCAATTAAAACTATTGCAGATCCAATTAATTCTGAAAACCGTGCGTACATTCGACTTTACACGTAAGAAACTCTGGGTCTAAAAAGCCCACAGTTGTACATTAACCCAAAAGAACCCACAGTATGGATCAGCTCGGGCTCTCTCTCTTCAAATTCTCATTTCATTATTTATTCACCCTCACCTCCCCCCATCCCTCATGAATGAACATGCGAGGCTCACGCCTGCAAATTAGGGTCAAATATTCATCACCCATTTACAGGCCAGGATATGAGACTGCAGATCAGTAATGGGGGATACAATCTTCATTATTAGGGACTTGTATACTACCCTGGATACATAAAACCACAGCACTCGGACCACAGTTTCTCTTTTTGTCTTGTTTCCAGGCACACACATATACCCTTGTCCACATGCACACACACACACACACGGACATGGAACCAAGTAAATATAGCTTGACAGACCCTATCTGGATACAGATCCACATGTGCCATAAACACACACTCTGGGTTTATGTTTGCACTATGCTCAATCAAACTTAATAAACATCCTTTTGCTTCTACACCTGCTTTAAAACACTCCTTTTCCTGGACCAGTGGGGAAAAAAAACACGCAGGACAGGGTGTATCGCCTTGAGAAATAAACGCAGGACAGGAGCTATATTTGATGGAAAAGTAGAAGAGATGGTACAAAAAAAAAAACACGTCATATGCTCCTGCTAGCTGTCCCTGATTCTGTCTCAACAAAAAACAAAATGTACTGTTTTAAAAGAGGGAAAGTAAAGGATGCATGTTTTGAAAATCAATATAAAAAAAGAAAGAGGAGCCTGTTATAACTTACATTCTTTTACATTTAACAAACAGCTTTTGAAAGCTATCTAATCACTCCAACAGACCCCTTCCTCTCACATCTCCAAATAGTATGATTGACTCTGCAGCGTGCTCAGCCATTAATCCTCTCTCCTTTAGAGAGCACCACTCTGCTCCATAGCCCTGTGCCAGCATCCTTTATGGATCACCAGGATCCATTTCAGAGAATACCCCCCCCCCCCCCCCCGCATTCCCCATGCAACAGTGTCACGTTTCGCTGAGTGGGAGAAAAATTGTTTACAGTTATTGGCTTTTGCTTCTTTTCAAGAACACAGCTGCATCAGTCAAAGTCAAAATGTGAAACTTAATACAAGATTCGTTCTTTACCAAACCGTTTTTCACTGCTATAGATGGAACTTTTTTTTTTTTTTAAACAAGTACTTAATTTCCTTTTCCATACCTTCACAAAGAGCGGGTAGGTATCCTTGTTGACGGTGTGCGAGTGGTAAAACTCGCCGTCGTACCACAGGACCTTGCCCATCGGCGAGTTCTCCTTGGTGACCGCAAACATCTTCTTGGGATCGCAGCACTCCGTCAGCAGCTTCCTGTGCAGAGAGGGTGTAGGGTAAGAAGAGATCTGGTCTCTGGTGGTTTCTGGACCGTTTGACACAAACTGGATTAAGAATGGGCGGCTGTGACTCTGGTAAGAGACGGGCTGTAATAACTGCTAATTTGTTTGGCAGGAGACGGCAAGAATAAGATTTGTGTAAGTATGACGGGACAAAGAAGCTGCTGTGTAAACATCCAGAGCTGCTCGTTAGAAGAAATAATCACAGCGTTTCATTATAGACACATGGAGTTTCAAGCATGACGACATTCAATAACGGCCTGGCCTGGCCTGTCCTCTGCTTTGTCCCCCTCTTGGACGTAAAATCCTGAGCAGGTGTCACCTTCCCTGATGATCCTAATCGGCTTTGCCTCAGAGAATATTCAGCACATTCACAACTCAAAAGCTCCTTAAAAATAGTGTTAATTACTGTTTGAGTGAATGCAAATGTTTTTACATGTTTAAAACTTCAAGTGTTATACTGTACAATAAAACAAGGGACCACAATACAGAGCAGAGAGGTCAAAAGGAATTGGACAATAACTCTCCAAGATCCCAAATGACAATATGTTAGCTTATAAGCATTACTTATAATATCAAGCGTGTTTAAGGATGAAGTTACAAAGCTTTGTTGGGTTTAAACATGGTCTTAGTTTGGAAATACAGTTTTTATTTCGCATGATTTTGATGATAATTTACCCTGATTCCTATTTGGTATCCATCTTGATCTATATAGAAAGATATATGCCCAAACTGAGAAGGACCCCGATACAGACAAAAGGAGGTCACAGGCACTCTGTGACAGTTATTATCCTTCTGATAAATATGTTTGCTTCTTGACATAACTTAGAAAGATTGTATTATGCCCTAATGCGAAGAAAATGCGTTCAAGAAAAGCCTTTGCCTATCTTTGTCAGGGACCCCAATGCAGACAAAGGGGGGGGGGGGGGTCACAGGCACTCTGTGACAGTTATTATTCCACAGAATCCTTGCTGATCATGTTTGCTGCTTGACATAACTTGTAAATGTTTTATAATGCCTTTTTTAGTGTGCATCCAAATGGTTATGATGTAAAGGAAATACATTCAAGAGGAGTTTTTGCACGTTATCTTTGTCAGGGACCCCAATAGGCCTCCAGACAAAAGGGGGGCAGACACTAAGCAGACTTTGTGGAAACAGTAACCAAGTAGAAAACAAATGAACAATAGCCTATGTTTGCTGCTTAATATAACGGATGTATTTGATTTCTCTCAAATGGTCGCAAGTTAAAATAGTAAATAAAGAGAATCAAAAAAAAGACCATCTTTGATAATTGCATTGTGTGTATTACTGCCCTTTTGTGCTCCGGGGACCGACGGGGTCCTGAAGGACAGCTGGGGGCACCGGGCCGCGCTTAAGAAAATCAATGGACAGAAATAAGATCCCTGAGACGAACCTGTACAGATCGACGCCGGTCTGGTTCTTCTCCCATGCTTCCCCCTGCCTCAGCACCTCCTCCACTATTTCTTTATCGCGTGGGAGTCTGTAGCCGGGGTAGATGTAGAACCAGCAGAGCACCAACACGCACAGAGCGGCCCACACCGACAGTTTCCCCCGGTAGCATCGCCCCAACATCTTTATCCCCCCCACCTCCCCACCTCCTCCTCCTCCTCTTCTCTGGTGCTCAAAACAATCGGTGCATGCACATCGAAGCAGGTGCAGCAAAACGCAGGTTGCGGTTTTCAAAGCTGGGGTTTCCGTCCGCTGCAACCCCCGCGTCTCATCCCGCAGACAGGGTGGAGTGTGAATGGAGCTGCTTGGTAGTTTGTTACCCGGTCGTTTGTCTCAAGCATCGGTATGGAAATCCGGTATCCGAGTGTCCCAACGTGGGAGGCTCACAGCAGGGTGCGGGGTTGTGGTGCAGTGTGTCGGGCTCTGCTCTCGGAGCATCACCACCATCATTACAGCCTGCGGATTCAGAGAAATCAAGGGGGGGGGGGGCGGGGGGGGCGCCTCCCCTCCCCACCCGGTGTCCTGATGTATCCTAATAACGACAGGGGGGGGGGGGGGGTCTCAAAGTGTCCACCTCTCTCCCGCAGAAAGGTTCCTCTCCTCGGGCCGTCCTCTGCCTTGCTGCAAGCTTCAGCGCGGAAAGTGAACCGGGCCAGTCCAATTCAGTCCCCCTCCACCGTCCCTCTTCCTCCTGTCAACACCCCCCTTTACGAGACAAAGTGCTTCTTGTGCTGCTGAGGAAGTGCTAAGCTCGCTAGAAGCAGCACGGTTGAAACGGAACTCGCCCGTCAAAATAAAAGCACCCTCAATGACTGTACAAAATTGAAGCCAATTTACCTCCAGCCATGGGCGCCAACTTTGCCCTTGTAAGTAAGCAAGCAAAGGAGGCTAAGTAAAGATGATTTATGTTGCACTTTTCACAGACAAAGGTCACAAAGTGCTTTACATTAGCAAAAAAACAACAACAGCATACATACATACAATTAAAAAAAAAGGACAAGTGAGTATATCATGGCCGGCATTATAAAATCCTGCAATAAGGAACAATAATTGGCATAATAAAACAAAGATGAGTAGGTTCACCGGGTGAAGCTGATCACCCATAGGCCTGTCTGAACATTCACGTTTTTAACTGCTTTTTAAAAGACTCAACAGAGTCAGAAAGATGTAGATGGTCAACGAATTGGATTGGTGCTATGGCCTCAAACGCACGATCTCCACAAGTCTTAAGATGTGTCTGCGAGACAGACAACGGGTGTAGGGTGTTTGACCTTAGTGAACAAGTGGGTGAATACGGGTGAATGAGTTCTGACAGATATTCTGGGGCCTGACCGTGAATGGCTCTGAAAGCGAGGCTGACAATTTTAAACGTAATCCTATATGCCACAGGGAGCCAGTGCAGTGTTTTCATGTTCTCAGTTTACTGATATTTCTTTACTGATAAAAGCATGATCTGCTTAGCTGCTTGACATGGCTGTCCAGTGATAGTGAAGGATAAAAAATGACTCAGAAATTACAGAGGGTTGGAGCGAACAGCAGAGGAGAGGGGCCCAATGTTTCGCAAGATTATAGGAACATACTTGTCTTGGCCAATAACTAGGACTTGTGTTTTATCTGCATTTAGTTGTTAAAATATCAGATATATTGCAAGCTGAACCATAGCCATCATAGACTGTATATCACAAAGAAAAACTGATTTAGATAAATGTTTGGTTCAAAATATTTCCCGAATTACCAGTATGTGCTCACCTTATGCACAAAAATCATGAATATATTGGTTGTGGGTTTTATTTTGGTAATCCTGTTCCCATGTCCTGTTTTTTCCCCCTGCTGACTTGACCTGTCTGTGTCCGTCTGGCCTCAGCTTCCCGCTGTGATATGTGATTTGAGGTGCTGCTGCCCCCTGCAGGACTTCTTCTGCACTGCATGAACAAACCAGTGAAATAGTTGAGAAACCGCTACAGCTGTTGAGCACAGTACCACCAGAGTACCTAACCCAACATTGAAGTCATCCTATTACATTTAAAATGATGATAGGATATTTAAAATGTACTCTTTTGGGCAAAAATTTACTGCCATTCTAGAAAGTCCTGCTCATAAATAGCGTCTGTTCTGACCTCTTGTGGACATAGCTGGTGCTGAATGGTTTTTGCAGTCATTTCATTTCCCATGAAACAATAATCACATGTGTGGGTGCAGGCACACAGGGCATTATAAAGTAATCTGCACTTTTCTAACCAGGCTCCCTGCTCAGTCAGCAATGTTTTTTTTTTTATCAGGGCTGAAGTGTATGAAATGATTCTTTCTCTATGTGAAGCATAGAAATAAATTATAATTAATGTACAGCCCCCTCAATTTAAAAGAAAAAAGTAAACATACAGTGTAACAGAGTGAGTTAACAGAAAAAAATAACCAGACACTATCTTATCATAGGCACTTCTTAAATTGTCGTCAATTTATGGGATAAAATCTGACATAAATGTAGATGTCATAAAAACTATGAGAAGCATTTATTGTATTGTAAAATAAGGAACTAAAATCCTGCTGCATTGTTTATCTTGTCTTATTTCCTTACCAGCCCTTAAAAGGTTCTCAAAGGTAAAATAAAATTAAAAAAAGTCCTGAATTTGAAGATTTGCTGCATTTTTTGCACGTTAAAAATTGTATAATCTCGGAAAGATTCTCATGTAAACATATACACAAATTATAAAGACATCATAATGCATTACTTTCAAAGATAACAAAAGGCTGTAGCTACAGGAGATATCGATTCTCAGGTTCTGTGTCCAGCACTTCACACTTATTAAACAGACGTCACAGAAAAACTACATTGCTATATTCCTAAAGAATGACAAACCAAACAAAGACCAACCAGTTTGCTGTTTTCCTAAACCTCTTATGTCCCCCTACTTGCTGTTTTGGCCAATCAAAACAACACCCAGGTGCAAACAATCTGCCCTCCCCTGGAGTCAACAAGAGGCAGTTTTGCTTTCACAAAATTAAAAGATATGAAAATGAAAAAATATATAAGATAATGCACACGTGCACACACACACGCACACACACACCCACACACACCCACTCACACCCACACACACACACACACACACACTCACACTCACACTCACACCCACACCCACACAGACACACACAAACACACACCACACACACACAGCTCCACCCACTCAGTTGTCAGCATATAAAGCTGGACAGAACCGTAGCCAGCTGAGAAATGTTGGCGGCTCACTGCGCCCTGTTGGGGAACTTGGAGGCAGCATCAAGGTCAGAGCAGCGGGCAGCAGAGTGATGCCATAGCAGCCTTCTTGGCTGTAGTCATGTATCAGCTGCTTTCACAGTACCCAGTGTCCAAACTAAGAAACAACATGCTAGTCTCTAGAAGATCCAGAAAGTCAGAGAAGACAGGCAGAGGTATATGGGGGATAAACCATCTAACAGTAAACTAAATACTCATACACACAATACAGTTTGGTTTCAAATGATAACAGAAGCTTTAATGTCATTGTGTAGTCAGCTCATGCCTGAGCCTGCTGGGTCATGATGACAGCGGATTCGGATGGATTATGTGTTCAACAACTGATGGGACAAATAACCTTTCAAAGAGCAGGTGAGGATCAGGCATCAGTGGTCTGTCTTAAAGAATAATGCTGTCGTTTTGTTTCTGTTTTTTGTTTTTTTTGTATAGAGATTCAAAATGAGCTCAATTGTTCAGATTTACGACCACATATGGAGAACTGTGGGGCGACACATTGAGCTGTCACCTATCTATTTATGAAAGCTGTAAGAGTAGAAAGTGCATTACAAGCGCTTCCCTGATACCCAGGCCTCTCTGTGTTTTTTTCTTTGTGTGTGTGTGTGTGTGTGTGTGTGTGTGTGTGTGTGTGTGTGTGTGTGTGTGTGTGTGTGTGTGGAGACAGAGCGGAGTTGGGTTGCATCAGAAATAGCACTCCCACCTGCTGAGGATCACTGAAAAAAAACCGATGACAGAACATTTGTTGTCCCCCGCGTCTTCCTCCTTTTATTGCCGTTCATTGCTCACTGAGGTATTGTCTTCTGTTCTCCCTCCGTTAATCAAATGGTGTTTGACACCGTAGCTCTAATATATCTGGAAGTTTGACGTTGTATATCAAATATCTGTGAAAATAACGTGTAAAACTAGGGGAGTTCATAAAAAAGGTTCAGAGGCATGGAAACGTCAGGTTTATATCTGTTGTCAAATCTTACTTTCACCTCTGCATGATATTTTTCATAGGGTAGTGACATCAGGAAATGTATAGTGAAGATCCCAGATTAACCTGAGGCAGGTGTGTGACATTTTTATTTCAGCATTTTTTTATCCAATATTCTATCTATCTTGCCAAATGTGTGACAATAACACACATTCTTTTTTGGGGGGGAGGGGGGGATTGATTTAATTACATATTAACAATTACATATAGCCTACATAACTGATATGAGTGTGACCACATTACTTATAGATATAATTTACAGTATGGACATTTATTTTGAAATATTTTTTAAGTATCTGGATGAACATATGCATGTATGTACTGTATGTGTGCGTGGTCAATGGCAGACCAAAATAGGCCTTTAAAAAAACTAAAAAATACATGTATATCTATATGTACGAATCCCTTAGATCATGTCTGATGTAGTTTAGCTATATGAATCCAATTGATTGATGGATGACAGATTAAACAGAACATAAAGGTCAAAGTTGAGCTATAAGAAAGACAAACAAAGTTTTATCATACTATTACTATACCTGACAAAGCTGCTGATTCATCTTCACACTGGTGTCTAATCTCAGAGAAGCCCTTACATCTCACTCAGAGCTAAGTTTTAGCCTAGACTCTTCACCGCTTCATTTGACTCTTATTAAGATGTCCTTGTAACTAAAGCCAGGTTAACCAAAAACATCTTAGCAATTTGACCAGCTTTATTCCAGGATAAGCAAGTGGAAAGAACCGAAACTTGATGCTTAGGGGTTAAAGTGATTAGCAAGAAGTGTCACAGCTCAGGCCAAGATTAGCATGCATGCTCAGATAACTTGATGAAGTCAGGCCAAGACATTGTTGAACGCAAATGATAACACAAAAACACACGTGTAACAGGATAAACAAGGCAGCTGAGGCAAAGAGGTCTCGCTAATGTTTAGCTAGCATGTTTACAATGTTCGCTTTATTAGTTCAACCTGTTAGCTATTCGCCAATTAGCACTTCACTCAAAGTACAGCTCAGCAATGTCTTAAGAAATGCGTGAGAACACTTGAGCCATGAGTAAAAGTTTGCCTGACAATATAAAATAGGAAGATGAACTTTGTGTTTGCACAATGTGTTAGCATTGTTCGTGACTATCAAGTGTCGTCAAAAGTTGACAGTCTGCTCTGTTGAGCATGATTTAAGAGAGTTCACTAGCCAACGGTACCATTTCATCATTGCATTCATAGCTTTAGGGTCACATAGGGCCATCAACGCTAATGTTGCAAGTGTTTGCTAACTGCTAAATATATTATTGTTGGCATTGTTAGGATGTGGCAATCTGAATTCTTTTCAGATTGCCACATCCTCTTCTGTCGTTCAAATCAACTGAGGATGAGATCAATAAAAAAAAATGAACTGCAACTTGAGAAATAGTCTAAAAGGCAAAATTCAGTTTTGAATGTAGGTTGTTTTTTTGTTTTTTTAAATGCTTGATGAGACCCCAACCTTTGTTTTCATGTATGCTTTTATTTCAAGCCAAGCTTCCAGAGAGTTCAAGTGGGCAAAGATAAATGAAAAAACAAGACGGCAAGAGGAGAAAGTTTTTACCTCAACTTTAAATGTGGTCTGAAAATGTTTTAATGCAGAAATTTGAGCTTTCTTAAATCTTTCCCTTTTAAACGCGATGACTGGAGTCATTTACATGCATAGTCACTGTTCCCTCTCCTCCTCTACTTCCAGTCTATTCTCAGTCTGAATTAAATTGTATATCATCACTGTAGCAGCAGCTACTCAAACATGCTGTTCCACCTACTCCTCTTCCGATGAATTTAAAGCTGTTGTGGCAAAAGAGGATCAACCTGCTGCTATTCTAGGGCTCTATGTAATCACATCAACCAGTATTTTTGTAATAATAGCTGTGATTAGAATAGATCAAATGCCAATTGAGTCAATCCCTGTTATTTAACCTTATAATGTCACTCTACACAACATTTAACCCCCCGGATAAATCTTAACGGTAATGACGAGCGCTAACAGCCTCCCTGAGGCTGATAAACAGATATGAGGCAGCAGCGTCATTAACCATCATACTTATATTATGAATGAAAGAATAACTACTTACAGCCATAAAGTTGACAATTAGATTGGAATATTGTATTAAACTATGATTGTAGATGTTGATAGTGCTACTAAATTTGTCTCACCACTGTTGAATGCTGCCTATAAGGGATGAGCGGCTTGGCCTATTCTTAGAAAGTGATTGTTTGCCTTTGCTATTTGTGAGTGTGGGGTGGGTGTACATTGTACTCCTTTGTTGCATTATTATCTCGCTAAACCCTTGTCCCTTTTTGGGTCATTATTCATCTTATTACATGCTACAAGTTTAGAGTACAATTTCTTCTTTTTTGCTAGTTCTAAATTTGAAGATATTTTGAACACACACATGTTTGTATGCTAAATTTGGTGCTAAAGCTAAACATTAAACTTAAAGCTCCTGTAAAGGGTTTTTAATTGGTTGACAAACAGACTGAAATGAATACTACTGCCTCTACCTGACCTACAAAAGCAAATTTGACCATCAGAAAAAAGATTGGCTATTTCTATATTTACACATTTATCCGCACGGAGAAGGAGAAAAGAGGTATCAATTTGTCACAGAGGAAACCATCGTAAATACACGAACTGAAAGTTCCTCACAGGAGTTTTAATCCATAAAACAGCATACAAGGATAATTAATTACAGCTTTTCATATAATTTGTTCTGAAAGGTAAAAATACAAAGGATAAAAGCGACAACTATTCCTCAGTATGCTAACTTCCTGGATATGTGGCTAGCCGCCTACTATCTGGTCCTGGCTAAGGAGTACCGCTTGTAACCCGTAAAATTGCAAATTTTGATGTTTTAAACGTTTTTTGGATGGATAAAACAAACAGATAATCATGTCTTTTTTTGGGGTTTAGAAAAGGTCCTGGTAGGCTGGGCTAGCTGTCTACCCCTGTATCAGTCCTTTAACTCAACTAGCTCCACCCTTTGGCAGACAATGAATATTTCTATGACATTTATTTTTATTTTTGTATTTTTTTTTACCAATTTATAATTTTGTTTATATCTAAGTCTGTTTCAAGCAACAAAAGTCGATATCAGGACAATTCCATTAAGGTAATGCCCCTTGATTTATTATTACACTCCTCTGGAGTTGTCTCAGTGTCAGCCGTGGTGATATCTCAAGTCTGGTCCCATGCCAACACATTCTTGGGACCAGACGTTATATCTGCGGTCCATGCACTACACAGCTCTCATAAAAAGCTGCCTATTGTCTTCAGCGGACACTGTTTGACTCTCTGCACCACTACAGACAACCACTCTCAGGTAAAACTGCCAATGTTACATAGTGATTTTAAAATACTTCAGCTTTTTAAGTACGTTTCCAATGTATGATTTGGTTTTGTTTTAATTTGTTTTAAATCTATTTTGCTTTTTTTTTTTTTACATATTTAAAAGTGTGAGGGAGTATTTAAATCTATTTAAATGTGACTCTTCATTCTCTTACAAATAATTCTGAACAACTGTTATTCTACACAACAGGACAGCTTTCAATTGTTTAAAAGGTTAACATTTTTTTTTTTTAGCATGAGATCTTCTGCTGTCAGTGTTCTACTTGATTTGTCAGCTAGAGAGCTGAATTGCAGTGTCACTCTGCAAAACAACATGAAATAATTCGGAGTATAGGGAATGGATTTGTCCTTGTCAAGCCCTCGCTTTAATCCTCTTGTCAAAGGATGTTGAGACAGATTACACTGTGATTCATTAGTGACATATAAATCCTAAACTGTACTAATAATGTTTCTCTTGTGTGTTGATAATTGAAGTGATGTAAGAAATGCCATGTTGATCCTCAATCCCTGAATGTAATGGTCCGTATTTGTGTGATTAACTTCTCTTTGTGATTAAAAAAAACTGTTTTCAAGAAACACAATCATCCACTTTTAATGTTCTCATATAAGCCTAATGAACTTTTAGCATCATCTCACTCATCTTTATTTGTTGGGGATTTCAGGAGCCCAACAGACCTGCAGAGATGAATCCCAAAGGGGTTAAGGTGAGCGAGCTACTTTCTACAGTGTTAATCCTGCATGCATGGAGAGGGGACACATTGTCCCTATGCACACACTGGCAAAGATCTGGCAGTGGTTATCTGTCGGAGTTATCAGAAGCACCGAGAGCTTTCCCCTTGACTCCATCCTAATAATAAAGCATTATCTTTTTACATGTGGCTCGCAGTGATTGTTGACTCTGTGACACTCACAGACCCCTCCATACATATCTGACTGTATATGGAGTGATTGCCTTTAAAAGACATAACTGATGCAACTATATTTTCTGAGGATGAACATTGTGTCCATCCTTTGTGTTAATGCGTCTATACAACCCTGAATAGCCCCCATCATAAAATAAATAAATAATCATTAAAATGTGATCGTCTTTTTCATTGTGACATAATATTAACAACCATTATTTTTTTGCAGCCGAAGTCGAAGATTTCGGCTTCACGCAAGCTGTCCCTCAAGGTGAGTGGTTAATACAGCCTGAGATGTTCCAAATGTATTAAGAAGGCGGGGGAAACATTTATTCATGTATTTATCCCACCTCTTAACCCACATTAAGAAAAAAAAGAAAAACAAGAAATCTTTGAGCTCTATGATGATGTACATTTTATGTACAAAGCTTTGATTCTGTCGAGCACTTGCACCTCTGACTGAAGTGGTGATCTGTTTTGTGCAATCAGATGCTTCTCCTTACGAGAGCTTGTGAGGATTTGGAGAGGGAGCGGCAGGAGAGGGAGGAGGAGAAAGTGCGCTATCTTGGAGACAAGTTGCCCCCTTTGCAGCTGTCTGGATTACCACTCGAAGAGCTACAAGTAGGAGTCACAAAACACTTAAGAGCAGACTTTTTTTTTTTCCCACAGCCAAAAAATGTACAAGATTATAGAGTTGTATGGATAAACACCACATTTCTCCTTCTTCAGAGTCTATGTAAACAGCTTCATACAAAGATTGATGTTGTGGATGAGGAGAGGTACGACTGTGAGTCCAAAGTCAACAAACACAACAAAGATGTAAGTTTCTGAACACTCTCCTGTACTGGTTTTCTTGCATGGTTAAGTCAATATTCTCAAATTAATCCAAGTTCCCTTATTTGGCTTAAAGCCAGAGATAAAAATTTAAAAAAACTTGGAGATTATTAAGTTACCAACAAGCATAAGCACAAACTGAATTTTGCAGTTTGCTTTGTATCTTCTAGATTCACGAGCTAAAGCTGAAAGTACAGGACCTTGGAGGAAAGTTCAAAAAGCCGGCACTGAGGAAGGTGAGGGTGTCTGCAGACGAGATGATGAGGGCTCTCCTGGGCTCCAAACACAAGGGCTCCATGGATCTCCGAGCCAACCTCAAGTCTGTGAAGAAGGAGGACGTCAAACAGGACAAGGTATCAAAATATTTCATCTGTCGGTCTCCCTACTCCCCTGAGGTGTTCCAAAGCCTTTGTGATGTTTTAATTTTTCTATTCTTATTTGCTCAACTCAAGGTGCTCACTACTGAAGTGGGTGACTGGCGTAAAAATGTGGAAGCGATGTCAGGCATGGAGGGTCGCAAGAAGATGTTCGATACAGCGGGTGGAGCACAGTGAGACTCGCAAAAAATGATGACGCTAGAACACTTTAGCTGAGCTGGGGAAAAAAGGTGTCTAGAAAAGAATGGAGTACCAGAATGCTTAATGACTCAGAACCTGTAGGAATTAAGATAAAGGCTTTTCAGCAGCGCCTCCATAGACAGTGCAATGACTCAGAACACTTACAGAAAAGTTTAGTTTGAGTAGAAACCCATTGTTTTGTTTTTTTATTACCAACGTGTTTTCTTATGACATCTTTAGACAATTAAAGTGGATATGAATAAACACTCAGTCTTTGATGTTCCATATTTGTATTTGACTTTATCATGTTTCATTGTACTGGCAGCCGTTGGTTTATGTGCGGCATGTAAGAGGCTGGAAAGCAGCTTAACTCATGATGGATTTAAAAAAGGAAGATGGGAGGGGGAACAACAGGTGTAATCAAACTCATAATGTTTAAATAGATCTTGGATGTATCCATTATAAAAGTTGAAAAAACATCTTATCTTGTATTATCTCTTGAACTGAGGAGAAAATGTAATGATAATGACTGTTTCTTTCTTGAAGAAAAAGATAAAGTTTCAGACATTTGGAAAAACCCAAGTAAAGGTTTGAAAGAAAATTGGCCTTGAATTAGACGATTGCAAAGGCCAGGTTTATCGTCAAAATTGCATTGGTGGTATTTTAAAATAATGGGGATAAAAGCTGTATCGCTTTGATTAAAAGTAAGTTTTTTTCCATGAGTTGTATTCAGTGTGAAAATAGAAATAAACCACAGGAGACTTTCCAGCAGATGGTGAATCTTAGACCCTCAGAACACCTGGGCCGAGTATTTTTAGCCATGACTTCGTCCTCGGTAACTCCAATCCTTTAAAAGCAAAACTTGAGATGGACAGCATAACCTGCAGCCATTGTTATAGCACACATGCATGTTCCTCTCCTGTGTGTCAGTGGGTTGACTGGCTGCTGTCGCCAAAGCCTTTGTTATTTCAAGTATGAGAGTTACACTAACAATAGCTTCAGGATCCCTGGAAGTACAGGTCAGTTGATGCATTGTATGCTTTTATTGGCTGTTTATGGAAAGGTGTGTTTAGACAGCTGATACAAATCTCTCAAGAATGTAAATAATGCATATGTATAAACACGTGCAGTGTGCAGGATAATCATTTCTAAAGTTGGGTTGGGTACCATTAACAGTGGAAACAAAAACCCATCATTTATACCCGTATTCAATGGTACCTTTTATTATGGTACTTTACCCTCTCTGTAATGACAAATGTTATTTCTGTTGAAAAAAATCTTTAATCTTCTCAATTTCGACATTGTTTAGATTATTTTACATACCAAACAAAATTTAAAAAACAAAAGTTACATAACTTAATACTGGTCTTATACAGAGGCACCGGTATTTAATATGCTAACCCACATGGCCTAACAAGTGAAAAGGATAAGCTAATATATGGCCACCAATTACAAAAAGCCTTATCATCTCCAACAAAAACGTATCCACTTTACTAATCTATTAATTGAAAATGTTGGTAAAGTTGTCGATGCCTTTTTTCATATTTAGTGGTACATGGGGGGTTCACCAGCTTAGGTGCAGTTTGAAGTGTTCAGCTTCGGCTATTAAGCTAGCATCAACTCACACAACAACTTCTCCAATTAGCCAAATAATTACTTGAAGATGGAAGTGAACTAGTTCAGGTTTTTTGTGAATATTCAACATTCAGTGCTGGGGGAAAAAAAAGTGTGCTAACATTAGCTGAAGCTCTTCTAAAGCTAAATTAAGACAAGACTGAAGACTTGTTTAAAACAAGGACTTCGACTCTTTTTCTGTGTGTACCATGCACTCTCTGGAACCAACATTTGGAACCAAATTATTTAATCCAAATCAGTACTTTTTAGTAACAACAAATGTCAGCTGGCCCTGAGGAATGCAAAGTTTAACAGATGAAAGTGTCACTGTCACACCCTTCTTAGTTTGCATAAACCTGTGTGTGTGTGTGTGTGTGGGGGGGGTATGTGTTTACTCATGCTCTTGCCTGCCCATGCTCTCTTATAATAAAGAGCAACCCAGGTCTCAACACCCTGTATCTATAAATACCCCCTGATGAATGACCTTCACATAGAACGAATGCTCCAGATGTGCTAAATTCACTCATGTCAACACCACATAGTGACTGTTAACATGACAAAAAAGGTCATGACGCTGGAATCTTCTTTGGACCTTGACGAGGTGAGAGACACATTAAAATGTGAGCGGATGTGTCAAAACTCACACCAACACGGTGACTGCTGCGTGTGGGCTCTAACTGTGCTTTAGTGTCAGTGCCACTGGGTGGCAGTCAACAATCAGAGGACCACAGTACTTCTGCATTAAATAACCAAAAGTTAACCAAAAAGTGGATGCAATCATGTATTGGAAAGTCAAATCTACAGATGTATTTTAATCTTATAACTTGGGAAATTTTATGTCTTTCTAATAAATGATGTCCCAAAATTCAGGCGTCCGAAGTAAGGGAAATATTTCTTCAATCCAGTACTCTCAAAATGAAAAATAAAGGATAACTTTTGTTCATCTTATAAATGAACACATGCAGAATTGAGTTTATTTTCAATAGACGTTTGGAGAGGGGGATAGACCGTATTAAACTTTATCTTAAAAAAAAAGAAACAGTTGGAAAAATGTATGTTTTATGAATACAATCTGTTTGTTTAAAAGAAGACTCTTCAGTCTTAGAGGACATAATGATTCATTTTATGATAAGTGTTGTGATAAACAAGAAGAGGTACTGTGGAGCCTGACATGAAATAATGACAGCTGTGGCTCTGAGAAGGGTTAGTTCATTTCACTGAAGTAATAACACAAAGGAATAGAAAAATGATAGTTAGGCTGCGAATAAAACACAGAGGCAGATTGTATTATGTGTGTGTGTGTGTGTATGTGTGTGGTCTGATGAGGAAGAATGATTGATACCATTAATCATCAACATGCAGCATGAGCAGGGTATTAATGACCGGAGGGTACTGTGGAGACATTATTGGAAAATATTTGACAGTAATGGGGGGGGGGGAGATAGTGATTAAACTGGCCTCCATATGACCCACAGCATGTGTTTGAAAGCAATCACGTGTTGATGAAATGTCTTCAGCAAAATGAGTGTTATCCATAATTTGTCTACAGGTAAGTTAAGTGTTAAACAGAACCAAAACCACAAAGACAGAGTACAAATGTTTTTTTTTTTTTCAATGTGCCATTTCTTTTCCAGTGTTTAAAATAATAAATCATAATGTTGCTTCAGGTGTTTCTCAACTGTTATGTGAAACAAAACCTGCAATTTACAACATTTATTGTAGATTTCCCTTTCAAATGTCTCTCCTCATTATCAGTGCCTGTCGCAGTTCATGTACTTGGCAACAAGAGAGGATCCAAATGCAGAACCTCAGGCAGAGTAGTTTAAATTAAAGTCACTTTAATAGAAACTAAACAAAAACAGCCAAATAGTCGACGATTTGGGGGCAAATAAATGCAGACAAAGAACTCCCTGACAATGTAAGATGTGCAACCAAGCGTTGACCTCCAGTTTTGAAAAAGTGCTAAAAAGTGCAGTCCTGGAAGTCACATACACACTCCAAGTTAATAATCCCATGTTTACAGCCAAAATACACGTTTTCTTCTGCATAGGTTTTTATAGGCACACGCTGTATGGAGGATTACTTTTTTAAAACCTAATCTCTTTTGATTTCATGAATGATAAAAGTTATGTATAACTCGGGGCGTGGCTGATCTGACTTCAATGGGTCTCAAAAACTTGCTTCAGAAACCAATGGGTGACATCACTTAGACTACGTCCATGCTTTATACAGTGTATGTGTGCTCCTTAGAGCTTCCAGGGAAATGATGAGCAGGTGCAGTGAGTCAAGTGATTGGGGAAGTAATTAACATGACTTTGATTTACATATTGCAATAATAAAGCTTAATGATTGAGAAGCAACAGAAAATATCCTTTTTTTTTATTTTTGTAGCTTTGAAATAAGGTCATGGGGTAAAGATTTTTAAGAAAGAAAGAGAGAGGGGGAAATGAATGTATTTACTTCTCCACTTCAATGTTCCCCTGTTGGTTTGAGGTACAAAGTCGCAGACTTCCTGTGACCTCTTGGCTTATGATGATGACTAAGTATTGTACAGTAAGTGTTTACGGCTTTCTGGTGGTAAAGTGACAAATAAGCTGCTTGAGGCAAATCCTGTTTCTTCTCTAAATATTCGCCTATATTTGGAGGTAATGACACAGGAAAAGGAGCTTAAAAAGAAGTATTAGAAAGGTGGATTCAAGGGGTTTAAACACACAAGTGCACTTACACACACACACACACACACACACACACGCACAATGTGCAAAATGCTCCCCTCAGTCAAAAAGTGTTAATTGGATTCGGAGTGAGAGGTGAAGCTCTTTTCAACCTCAATGAAACATTTACAAGCAGCAGATAGAAATGACTGGAAGCAAAAAAGATGAAGACACATTTCTTATTCAGAGCCAAACCATTTGACCCAACCAAAAAGGTTGAGGGTTAGCTTTTGCCTCGCTTGTTCTGAAACTACAGGTGCCTAATGAGCACTACATTACTTTACAGTACATAATGTTACCTCATATTTCTTCAAAAGTATTTATTGATTTTTTGATCGCCTGGAAGAGTGAAACCAGCTGTTAACAAAACATTGCAGATTACCATTCCTTTACACATTTAATAAAGGCTAGCTAACATGTCAACAAATCCAGAAGAACCAAATTAAATTATAGTTTTTGCTTCCTGAGACGTATCTGGCTCCTCAGCTGATAAATGATCCGCCATGTTGACTAGCTAGTTGCTAAAAAAAATGTCCCGTGGTTTGGTGCTTGGCCAAACGTGTATACATTTAAACTTCATGGTATGGAACAAAAACTGTCATATTGTCGACTGTTAAACCAAAGCAAAATGCTAAAAGATACTATAACAGTCTGAAGACTTCATCCGGAAGCGAGAAATTTGGTGTAAAATCTTTGGGGAGTCAAAAAGTAAGTCCACTTCTTTCATTCAAAAATGTGTTTATTTGCGTAAACGTATGGGTAAGTGCTTATTCCCGTTAGCCGTACAATTAGCTCTCAAAAATACTTTTCAAAACTTTGGTGTAAAGTTGAAATTCCATGAATGGTAAGAGGTGACGCATCCTCTGGACCACATTGAGAAGCTCTTGCACAGTGTTGAGTATTTTTCTGTTTGTTAGTGTGTTTCTCAAACATAAAAGCTGTTTCACAGCAGTTG